TGGACAAGGGTTTCACGGATATTTTTGCTGTGTCGAAAAGAAACTAAGGGATTATCGGAGAAATTGGAAGATGTTTCAGGGTCCTTTTTCAAAATATGGAAATTCTTGTTGATGACATCTCTAACTTTGAAATTGAAAGGATGATAGTTAAATACTAGGAGGATTTTGTTGTTGCCTGCGACATTAGACACAGGGTCTGTGAGGGTGTTAGAACGGGGAATTTGGGAGGTCTTCGAAAAGGCAGTGTCTAATAGAGAGGTAGGATAACCACGCTGGACAAAAAAGTGTCTCATCTCCAGACTTTTAGCCTGAAAATATTCGTCTTCACTGCAGATGCGGCGAAGACGAAGGAACTGAGAAAAGGGAATCGACCTTTTGGTGTGGTTGGGGTGGGAAGAGGAAAATAGAAGATAGCTATGGGAGTCAGTGGGCTTGTAGAACACACAAGTAGATAATTTGTTACCATTGATTGATACAAGGATATCTAAGAATGATACACTGGTCTCACTGATCTCCCATGTGAACTGGTGTGCTGGATGAAAATTATTAACAAAGTTAATAAACACTTCCTGGAACATGAGTAAATTCGTCTAACACCAATGCTAGTATAGCTCTCGCAGGGTACCGTCTATTTCGGCTTGATCGTAAGGTAAAATTTGGCGGCAGAACCTGTGTTATACGTGCATAAAATGTTAGCACGCTTAGTGACATAACTTATACTTCTAACACTGGCTTCCAACAACAGTGGATACAAATACAGGGGAAAAACTGAAGTTGTTTATTTTATGTTTTGTTTACAGACCTTGCACCTGATTGCCCAGTGGCCTATCTGGGACGATGATTTAGCGCCCAAAATTAATCTTGCCTTAACGATAAACGAAAATAATGTTTTCACCGGACACCTGAATTGTGACCTATTTAGATTTACCGGTGATGTGCCACGTCTCGTCGAATTGTGTAACAACTTTAATTTGAAACAATTAATTACTAAACCTACAAGAGTGACGGCGGTTTCCCGAACCTTGACTGATGTTATGATAGTTTTCTACCCCGATCTGGTGCGTAGCAGTGGAGTGATGGACCTGACTATAAGCGATCACTTTGACAGGGGGTCCAACTAAGAGCTGTGTTATGAATGTGAATGAAACATCATATTTAATTAATTAAACGTAATATGAATAAAACATCATAACGTAATATATTTAAACTATTGCACTTACTTCTATAAATCATAAGAGCTTGTATTTACAGTGAATAGCTTAAAACATTCACAACATAAACAACACAGTTTGCTATTGTTCAAATATGGCGAATAAATTGACAAAACGAAATATTGCATGGCGTTCCAGCGAAAATGACAGCAAGGATTGCGGGCGCGGGAGCGGAAAGGCGAGCCCTGGGAGAAATTAAATATAATATATAAAGAAGGAATGAAACAAATATCACGTGACTTTTTTCAATGCTTCTAGACTATTCGTGTAATCCTTTTGTGTGTGTGTGTTTTTTTAAGGCTCAGTCGATGTTCTCTTACATGAACACGCCTAGCTATTACCAAAAAAGCACTGATCAATCTAATTTATGTGATTTATAACAGCGAACATTCTTGGCCGTTTTCGCGACATGTGTTCCATAAGTAGGCTGTTCTCATGACGTAATGACTAAATAATAAAACTAAATAATGTAAAAAAAGTTGGTCGCTACATTTAAATGTTTCATATTAGCTGTTATAGCTAACATTGTTTATTTGCATTGATTAATTAATAAGCGCTTTAGGCGTTGTTGGAGTTGGCAGGAGGCGTTTTGGAATTTTCCGAGAGAATAGGCTACTTATGGAACACATCACACGATCGCATTACCGGTGTTTCATCCGTTCTATGTATTTATTACCCTCGCCTTTCCGCCCGCGTGCCCGCAATCCTTGCTGTTATTTTCTTTGGAACTGCATGTAATATTTTCGTTTTGTCAATTTATTCGCCATATTTTAAGAATAGCAAATTATGTTGTTTATGTTGTGAATGTTTGAAGCTATCGCTGTAAATGCAAGCTCTTATGATTTATACAAGTAAGTGCAGCAATTTAAATTTTATTTTATTTTATTTTATTTTACAATCTTTGTCAAATAAATGACAGGTTATACCCACAGAGCAGAACAGTCTTTACGGGTAATCTTAAAAATAAATATATAACGTTATGATGTTTTATTCATATTACGTTTAATTCATCTGACGTTTTATTCATATTCATAACACAGGTCTTAGTTGGACCCCCTAGCACGTGTCCTTTCTGGTTTATACAACACTAAACTTGAGAAAACCAAGGTTAAAAACATCGAAACTTTTAGAACGAAGTCAGAAGTCCTATGACTCAAAATGGTTCGCAGAAGATATAACCTGAAGTTCAGGCCCTAATCACAGAATAGGGCCTGACACAAAACCTATCTAAACTGTGAGATTCCCGTCCATCTGGTGGACGGGAAATCTGATTGGTTGATCAGCATCATGAAGGATTTTGATTGGTTGCAAGTTCACATAAACAACAGTTTTAAAAATAGCTCGCTCAACGGCTCAAGGCGACAATTAATATAAAGGTCAAACGCACGTAACAAATTCCATTATCGATTTCTTCGAATTTCTTTTCTTTTATGCTTTATGGCAGAAAATAAATCAAACAAACAGTATTTTGAAAGGGCTTTATCAAAATCTTTGACGAATTTTGGACACACCATGCTGAAAGAACAGTCAAACTGAAACTATTATATAGTCATGTATTCGAAAGCTTGTTGTTGACAAGCCAAGATGTTCTGCCAACTGGCTTCGCCGGCAAAAGTCTATTTTTAATATCAGGTCCTACCGGCGTTGCTTTCTGAGCTACATCGCCTTCTTCGTGGTACGATTGAGAATTTCATTGTTGCTGTTGTTAGCCCGTTAGAGTATATCCGCGTCCAGCAAGTTGAGACCTTGAGAAAGCTTGGCAGTCAAGCCGTGCACAGAACTAACTAATTAAATGTTTGTTTGCTGTTCGGTTAAATAGAGAAACTGACCCTTAATTATATAAAAATACCTTGAATTTTTAAGTTTAATTAAAAAGCAAAATGCACACTCTGCGGCATGTTCATGAGAATATAAATTTTTTGTGTAATGAAATCTACAACACTTGTCAATCATATTGCATGTTGTGTCTAAAAATAACATGTGGGCGTCCCACGGTCTAGACAAGTTTTGTGTCAGGCCCTATTTAAAATTAGGGCCTGAACTTCAGGTTACAGAAGATATAGCCAATGTACCGTTGCATGTCATCACATTTTGATAGCGTTGATGATAAACTTTCTCACTTAGTTCATTGACCACCACGCACCTGTCAAAGTCATTAAAACGAAAGCTATAACTCGCCCGTTTATTACGGTTGAAATAAAAACTCTGATGCATCAAAGAGACCTTGCTGATCGAATTGATCGTAAAACACACAACCCCCGAGATCGGCTCATACTTATGAATATTAAACGACAAGTTAAATTCGACCTTCCACTTGCCGAGTCAGATTTTGTAAGGAATAAAATTCAAACCAGCAAGAATTACCCAAACAGCATATGGAAAACTACTAGACGTTGTCTTTCTGTTCGAGACACAATGACACCCACTTATAGTAAAGATCTGTTGTCGCTCAAGAATTCAATGATTTTTTTACATCTGTCGGCCTAAATGCGGCGTAAAAATCTAGGGAAACAATAACCGCCTATGATCTTACCTTTAAAACGAACATTTGAATAATACTAATTCTGTGGAGTCTTTAACATTCTCCTTCGAGCCTGTGTCTTGTGAGACAATTGGGAATATCATTTCAGCTATGCCTAAAAATAAAGGTCCGGGACTCGATAAAATTACTTTGACCTTCATAATAGATTGTTTGCTGTATATTAGTCAGCCTATCAATGATATTATTAACTCGAGCTTAACTCAAGGCATATTTCCTAAAGCTTGGAAGTTAGCGGATTTTCAACAGGGCCTTTTTTAAGGATTTTTCCGTGGGGGGGGGGGAGCATTTTTTGAAAAGGGACCTTTCTGTGAGATAATGTATTACAGGGAGATAGCAATGGCTGAAGGCCACGTGTGTGGCCAACATACTATGCACGCATGAATGGGGGGGGGCTGGGGGTATTTTGTACTTGTATTTAAATAGATCCCCAGTTAGCTATAATGCTAGTTTACACGAGGTCTACGCTATGGTATATTAAGTTCTAAATATATATATATATATATATATATATATATATATATATATATATATATATATATATATATATATATATATATATATATATATATATATATATATATATATATATATATATATATATATATATATAATTGTAAACGCTCTAGCAAGGAAAGTTTTCTTCTTATAAACAGGTTTCGTAAGTAGTAACTTATCACCTTTACACTTCGATGCGAATCTTGTCTCATGTTCATGGGTAATGATGAGAGGATGAAGATGCATAAATATAGTAAATGGTTCCTTCCAGTAGAGTGTTCTATGTATAATCATAGCTGTTCTCATATGTATTCTTTGTCTGACCGTTAGCCAGTTAAGTTCATTGTGTAGTTCTTTTCTGGATTTTTCATGAATTTTACAACCTACGATCAATCTAGCAACTTTGTTTTGAAGTATTTGGAGAAAGTCTAAAGAATTCCGATTCAGAGCTGAACCCCAAACCGTACAGCAGTAGTTGAGTTTCGATAGTATAAGTGCATCCGCAATAGATCTTAAAGCAGTTTTTGGTATGTATTTACTAAATCTATACAACAGACCGAGCGCTTTTGAACAATCCTCCAAAAGACCATCGCAATGGGGTTTCCAACTTAATGCCTCATCCATCTGCACTCTCAGAAGTTTGACACATGAATACTGAGTAATGCTTTTGTTCTTCATACTTAGGTTCAGTGGCTGTGCTACTTTAATCCTTTGGCGACCTCCAATTAGGATACTTTTAGTTTTCTCCACATTTAGCACCAGACGATTTTTCCGGATCCATTCCTCGACGTTAAGTAGATCATTATGAAGATTTTCTGATATTAAATTGACATTTTCTGCCACATGGTATGGAGTGCTGTCATCAGCATACAAGGTAATACTAGCTGTATCCAGTACAGATGGTAAATCGTTAATGAATAGACTAAACAGCATAGGTCCAAGACAACTTCCTTGGGGTACTCCACAGACAATTTTCGTTGGACTAGAAAATTCACCGTTTATGTTAACCATCGAAATTCTGCCTGTGAGATATGATTTGATCCAGTCGATGGCCCCTTCAGAAAAATTATAGTCTTTCAGTTTCAACAATAGTAAATCATGATCAACTAGATCAAAAGCAGCACTAAAGTCTAACAATGCTACACCGGTGAGCAGTCCGTTTTTCCAACTTGGTTGTGTAAATAGCATCTTTTCTGTGATTTTTATAAGGCGAAGTAGACTAGTTATAAAACGTTTGATGGTTGGACACGTTTAAGCAATATAGTTTGCTTATAAACTATATTGGTTTTCATGGATTTTAATTAAATTTGGGTTATTGTCCGGTGCCGAGGGTCACAGGTCGAGGGTCTCGGGGTCTTAAGTCGAAAATAGTAATTTATTACTACATTTCTAGAATTATACTACATTTTTTGTATTTGTTTTCAAAATTTTAATCGTTTTCCTGATAATACCTTTTTGATGGAAGATATAGAAATTTCAAACCAACGCCCCAACCTGATGCAGTAATACATGATTAGGCTAAAAGTATTCGAGAAAGAAAACTGTGACTAGAAGCTACTATCGCAAGGAAAGTGCCGCCGAGCCTGACTCTTCCACAGTCCCTCAAAGTCACTAATTATCACGCTTCACATTCGCTCGTGTGCAGTTTATTCTCCACACGCCTGCAATGAACTCGTCGATGCTCCTCCCCCCTGCATTCACATAAAGCGACTGGAGACGAGGCAGTTCCTAACCATGTTACAGAATATAAGGGATAATCATCAACCTTCCAAAGTATATTGTACTTTTTCATAATTGTAGCATTATAACAGTGCACTGTTCTGATAAATTCAGGGGCGGCGTTAGAGGGGGGAGGGGGGATTAAGGAATTAAGGAAAAACTAAACGAGTAACGGTACATTAACTCAAACGATAATGAAAAATATAATGTCACGAAATTTTTTTATGTTCGGGTGCCCCCCTCCTGCTTGCCAAACATTTTGTAAATAGAAATATTAATTAGGAAAACATTTTTAAAATGCAGTAATGAAAATGGCGCAGTGAAAATGACTTGGCATAATTCACTCACCTCGCATCC